TTCCCTTCCCGGATGAGGCCTTCAATGATGTTGCGCAATGTGATACAAGATTCGGTATCATGGCCAGTGAACTGGTGGAATCGGCAGAAGACGCCTGTGTTCGGCATAGGCTTGTTGGGCAGTCTCCGAGGGGGAGGTTTGGGTATAATGGGGGCTTCCTGGACCAGAACATTCTCATAAGTAGTGTTCAACGTGGTGAATACCTCGAACCTGGGCTTCGGCTCAAAAGGGAGTGGGGCACGACCACTTGGCCTGGGAGGGTGGCCTCCGCGGGGCTGATGGCGGTTGTCGTGTCTGCTACGCTTCTCGTTGTTGAAGGTATGCTGGTGGCTGTCTTTCCTCTTAGGGTACTGGGTACCCTGGTGGTCAGGAACGGGAGCTGAATGGTGAGGTTTGGCCGGGGTGGGTGCTGAAGCAGATGGGGAATTACCGAAGGTGCTCCTCGACTGGTTGGCTGGGCCACGTTTGGTGTTAAAGTACTCGGCCTTGGCGTGAATAGCTGCTTGCTTCATCAGCTCCGCATATGTGTTCCATGGGTTGCTGTGGACTAGGTAGCGGAAGTTGGATTCTCTAAGGCCACTTTTGAAAGCGCCGAATGCAGCTCGATCGTCGGTGTCTGGGCAACGAGAGTACTCGTGGCTGAAGCGGGCAGCATACTCCCGAAGGGGTTCGTCCTCACCCTGCCGAAGCATGTACAGATCGTCAGCGGAGTAGAGGCGATCGGTCTGGATCATGAAATGGTCCAGGAAGGTCTGCTTCAGACTGTCGAAGGAGTTGATAGTGCGGGGGTTCAGCCGGTAAAACCAATTCAGAGCTGCGCCACTGAGGGTGGAAGGGAAAAGGAGACACATGCCCTCATCACTAAGGCCCTTGCATCCGAGGGCGGACTGGAAGGAATGGATATGGGTAAGGGGGTCCTCTGTGCCTGCGTAAGAGGCAATACGAAGTGGCTGAATGTCCTTCTCTTGATGATAATTGAGGATGCGTTCGGTAAAGGGCCCAGGGCGAGGTTTAGCCCAGAGAGGCTGGTGGTCGTGGGTTCGAGCCTTGGTGCTAGTTGTTTTAAGGCTGGACATGCTCGGTTAATTATGGTGTAAACAGAATTGTGTGACAGAGAAAAGTGTTACTGAGAGAGAGAGAGAGAGAGAGAGAGAGAGAGAGAGAGAGAGAGAGAGAGAGAGAGAGAGAGAGAGAGAGAGAGAGAGAGAGAGAGAGAGAGAGAGAGAGAGAGAGAGAGAGAGAGAGAGAGAGAGAGAGAGAGAGAGAGAGAGAGAGAGAGAGAGAGAGAGAGAGAGAGAGAGAGAGAGAGAGAGAGAGAGAGAGAGAGAGAGAGAGAGAGAGAGAGAGAGAGAGAGAGAGAGAGAGAGAGAGAGAGAGAGAGAGAGAGAGAGAGAGAGAGAGAGAGAGAGAGAGAGAGAGAGAGAGAGAGAGAGAGAGAGAGAGAGAGAGAGAGAGAGAGAGAGAGAGAGAGAGAGAGAGAGAGAGAGAGAGAGAGAGAGAGAGAGAGAGAGAGAGAGAGAGAGAGAGAGAGAGAGAGAGAGAGAGAGAGAGAGAGAGAGAGAGAGAGAGAGAGAGAGAGAGAGAGAGAGAGAGAGAGAGAGAGAGAGTGTTACTGAGAGAGAGAGAGAGAGAGAGAGAGAGAGAGAGAGAGAGAGAGAGAGAGGGAGAAAAACTGAAAAAGAAAGGTGAATCTATGAGGATTGTCTCTTCCTAAGCTTTGCCATGTTTGGTTCTTTGATTCTCTTGCAGGCTTTCTCTACTGTCTTTCTACAATTACCAAACCCAGAAATGCAAAAACAACTGCTGCTCTGCTACCTCCTCTGCACTCACTTTTCCACAGCCCACACTCTTCCCCTCTGTTTTTTCTCCAACCTCCTCTCACACCCCCACCTTTGTTTAACTGTATCTTCCTTGTTTTTTATTTATTTTATACCTCTGCTTCATCCTTTTTCATTTCTTTAGTCTTTAATGTCTTGTATTAAAAATTCCTTTTTCTTATAATTAATATTACCAAAATATCTTACTGCATTAACAAATAGCATGCTCCTAATTAAGTCATCTCAATCATCACTTTGGGTTTCACTCATGGGTGCAATGATGTTTAAACAATGAGGAAAGTACATCGATCTTCCGTACAAATTCACATATATTAGATTGTGATTAATCAACACTCTAAAAGAGAAAGGTAAACTCATTGATCTCACGGTACAAC